CTTATTAATCAACAATACAAGATTCTCTAGGGTGAAGGACTTAATGTACTGTACCTTGGGGTAACCCTGGACGAAAAATTGCACTGAACGAAGCACATCGACAACATTTGAAAAAAGGCAACAGTCCAACAAACTGATTAGTATAGCTGCTAATAACTGAGGGATAAGATACAATGCTGTCACATATACTATTTGGGTGTCATAGAACTCATTATACTTTATGCTTCCCCTATCTGGGAAAAGGCCACCTACAAGCAAGCAAATATAAAAAAATTTAAGAAAGTCCAGAGAATTGCAGCATTGCGAATTGCCAGGGCCTACCGTACTGCGCCCACCTCGGTCCTTCTGGTTTCTGCCTTCTATACTATAAATTTAGAGCAGCTATATGGTCCTGGAATCTCAAAAACATGATTGACCTCTCTAACTGGAAAGATAAAATTTAGCACAAAACCCTTCCAAACTTTCCTGACAAAATCTACCAAGACCTCATTGCCAATGGTATCGAGAAGAAAATTCCAAACTCCTATACAGATATGTCTCTTTCCATGAACATCCAGGACCTCATTTACCATGATGAGAATGACCAGGATTATAAAATTTACACGGACGGTTCCAAGCAAGAGGATCTAGTGGGCACAGCTTTTATCATGTACAACAAGGCAGGCAATATCACTCACCGGTCTGCTTTCAAGTTCGGTGAGTACTGTTCCGTCCTACAGGCAGAAATCTTGGCCATCACCAAGGCACTCCATCACATCAATGAAAACTAGTTCCCCGAAAAAAGAAAATAGCCATCTACACAGACAGCATTACAGTTCTTCGCTTAATTTCTAACGGCTACAATGTTACCATCATTCAGAAAATGCTTATCAGTAATAACCATCACCATCACATTACCCTTAACTGGATCCGTGGGCCACTCTGAAGTGGAGGGGAACGAAGCAGCTGACGCTTTCGCCAAAAGAGCTGCGGTCTCGCCCCTTCCTTGTTCTTACAGTAAGATACCGCCTCCACTATCCATAAATGGATCCGTAACCAACTTTTGCAAACTTGGCAAGAAGACTGGAACAACTGCACTACAGGCTGTTCCACTCATGGCCTCATTCCAGACATTTCTGCCAGGCTGAGTTGCAGGCATCTTGTTCCCAACTTTGTCTTGACTCAAGTTCTCACTGGCCACGGGAACTTCAACGCTTACCTCCACCGGTTCCAGCTACAGGACAACGAGACCTCCAGGTGCAACACGAACACGAAACAAGACTACTTTTACTTATTGTTTGACAGCAACAGAGAAAGACTCATTGAGGCTGCATTTCGTAACAACCATAACTAGCCGTGTCCTCTACAAGCCCTAGTATATGAGAAAGACATGTACAATCACCTGAATCTGCATAGCATCAAAGTGCTTACAGAGATAACGAGAAACACTTAGTCAGCGGCAGAACCTTCGTAGCCATGCAATCTACTGTACTACGAAGTTAACACCACACGTTAATAAAATCACTATGTCTGTGCCTTTAGTGTAACCCTAGGAATATCAATTGTAAATACGGTAGTAACGTGATAATTTATTCCTGCTACCTGCAATCTGGCACGTAGCATCCATCCTGTATCTAGTTTACACAATTAATCTGCATACTGTGCGTTATTGCCTGTGCATATGTTAGTGCTATTTGCGATTTGTAACATAGCACTCCCAACATGTATTCTTCTGTAAAATTTTTGTTATTGTTATTGTATTTTCTACTGAACATTTTCTTATAAATCATCGTCACGGGGTGCTCATGGATCCCAAACCTTTCTTCATCCCCTTTCCTTTTGCACCCAACCTCTCCTTCCCCCTTTTCATAACACAGGTTGTACAAAGAGTAGTAGTAGTAGTAGTAGTAATAGTAGTAGTAGTAGTAGTGAGACAGGTTGTACCTGTCACTACTACTACGTCTTATTAATTAATTTATTTTTACTAATAAATTATTAAATAATCATGAATTTATGAAGCATTTTTCATGTTCACATCAAGGAAATAATTTAGAAAATCAAAAAGAATGTCTATTTTTATTTATTATCAAACGATATTTCTACCGGGAAAATGTTTTGTATATGGAATAATATTTATTTTATTTAATAAACACAGGTAATGAAATGCCTAATGGAAAAGAAAGAATCGCCCCACCGATAACAGACAATTAAAGCAAAATAAATAAATAGATAAATAAACATGCAGTGCACAAAAACAGTATAAACATAAATAAAAGTGAAGATATTGAAAAGCAAACAAGAAAAATACAATATAAAATCAGTCAATTAAAACACATTTAAAATACATGTACAGTATAATGCATTACAATAATAAAATATTAAACGAAAAAAAGGCCCATCACCTCTCAAATACCACTAGTTATATTTTTAAATATATTAATTGTTATTTCTCCTATCTTTGGGACATTTTCAAATACAATGGCCGTTAATTACGTCACAGTAATTTGATTACAATTGTCCATTTTTTGTTCGTAGCATGGAAATAAAATTCAGGCTTCTGATTTAACATTGTTTTTGTAACGCTTTGAAGTAATAGTAATTTAAAATATTTTAATTATATAGCGCTGTATAGTTAGATGTGTTTATAAGAAACACATTCATAATATAACATTGACCCTTAAGCGCTTCTAAAGATTATGAAGGCGTTTAATTTACAAAATGGCTTTGTATCTGAAACCGCACCTGCAATGAGTTACTCTAATGGGCGATAAATTTTTTATTATTATTATTTTCGTTTATTCTGTAATAACCAACAAATGAAAGTAAGGAAAATGGAGATATAAAAATATGTATCGTGTTATTACAAAATATTCGGTTTAACGATTATAAATTGGCATACGAGATTTAGTTTTTATTGCTTTATACTGTAGTTTAATGTTCTAAATAACAAAAACATCTTAAATAAAAGTAAGTGTTAGTAACTAGTACAAATTAATGATGCGAAAAAGAATTTCTCTGTTAGCTTTAAATATGAGTGCGGTTTAAGTGACAAATCGCCCAAATAGTACAGTTTGCAGAACTTTATATAAACTTCAATAAAAATTAATTGTGTAGAGTGAACACATTAAACATACTGCACATTAAAAAATACAATACGATAATTTCTTTATATCATTATTAATAAAATTCGTAATTAAGAAAATTTTGAAAAATTATATATGAGAAATTTCGAAAAATCTGACCATTAAAAATTAAAATTTAACGTTGTAATAACTTATATTTAAGTTACATTGTTAAACTTATGTTTAAATGAATATAATAAATAAAATTGAAGTTGAATGTAATATCAAGAAGAAAAAGTTTGAATATACAACATAAAATGAAAAATTTAGTAAAGGTAAATAGAAATTTGTATCTAAGCTTTTGTCGATTTGTTTGGCTGATATAGAAATCAATGGTAACATCATAAGATTTTCACGAATAAATGAGATGTAAGACATCAACTTACTGTATCGTTACTAATGCTGCAAGCCAGAATAATATATTTAAATAACAAATGCTATGTTAATTATTGATCTATATATTTATGAATGAATTTTGATAATCTATCATATGTGCATTCAGTTTATATGTTCTCCATTAAATTTCTGTATAGTTTTTAAGATTAAATTTTAAAATAATTCTTGCATAGTTCAAATAGCATTTAATAGAAATGAACGACTATATAATTTAAAAGTTGACTATTATCACTGATTCAATGAAAATAACTAGCACTGTTTTAGTAGAGATTTCGTTCATATAATTATAAAAGATTGTTCTGCTCTCTAAAATATACTAATTTACGCTATTTAATTAAAATAATATTTAAATATTTATTAACTAAAGCATTGCTTTATTATGAATAATATAAGATTTTATATACAGTATTTTATTTTAAAGTTAATAATAACAATTAATTCATATTAGAAATTCTTGTTAGATGTATGAATTGACTTGAAAATGTAAGGATTGGTTGATAAATAAGGTCTCCATTTTTATAAAATTAGTTTGAGAAGAGACAGAAAACACGTGGCCAGTTTTAAAAAATAGTAGTACAAATTAGTTATTTTAATCAGTTAATTTAGTGCGACACATTTTTCAAACAATCAGTTCATAGCACTCCATGAATAAAAAAACTTTCTGGTTTTCCTTGATTTATTCCGATATAATTAGTTGAACTTCGATATCCAATGAAAAGCGTTGACCTTTCAACATCTTTAATTTTTGGAACCATCAGAATGGCGTCAGAAGTGGATTGGAGGAATAATGATAGTGTCACAGTTGGGCTGCAAGAAGGATGTCTTCACTGTTTTATTTTTGTAGGTCTTGAGTTTAGTGCAAGTATAAGACCGTTATTTCTGATCCTATTCTCTGAAGAGATCTCTTGATTCACAATACTGAAGTATTGTGAAACCTTATGAGGAAACAAAGAGCAAAGAGACAATCAGTTCTACTCATAGAATTGATTGTCTCTTTCTTTGCTTGCAATCTTCCTGTACTAAAAATTCAATTAATGATCACTAGTTTTTATAGAATGAAGAAGCTGAGTTCATGTTTAAATTTGGTTCTTATGTAACATAACTAAATGAGATTTCGCACATACTATACTTTAACCTAGAAACTCGTTGATATATGGCAGTTACATGATTGCATCTCTACATTATGGTAGATTACCTGATTTATGTATCAACCCTTGTATATAAATTTGTAATACAAATTTCTGTATATATAAAGCGTCTACGTAAATTTATATCATTAAACATTTATGCAATGTAAACTTCACATACTTATTTAGATATTAATATTTATTTTTAATATTGAATTTAAGTTATGAAAAAATGGTTAAAAATTATACAAAAAATTTCTTGTTAAATGCGTCGTATAATTATTTATAAAATAAACTAGAAATGTAGTTATTGATATCACTTTAATTTTACATTAAATGTATATAATTGTCATACATTTAATACATAAGACACGAAATTAAATACAGAATCACAATATAAAATTCGTATACATCTTTAATATAAGCCAAAAATAAATTTTAGAAAATTTACGAATTATGTGCGATAGAATTTAAGTTAATGGTTTCAAACTGAGTTACTGTTAAAGAATTTGAATTGTGGCATAAGTAAGTAAGACGAGAACGACTTCGTTTCTGACGGAAACAATTTGAAGTAAATGAATTTCGGAATTCTTTACGAAATTTACCTGTTAAAGATACATAAATATCATATTTATAAAAAATTAATTCAATATAAAAAAGAAATATTAAATTTAATAATTATAATGATTTTATAAAATGAATGCAAAACTTTTAGTACATGAAACAAAATATATTATAGAATTGTAATATTAAAACAAAGAATAAAAAAAATAAATTCATTTCTCTTATTCAATTACAGAAAATTTTTCTTCTAAAAATCAAACTGAGTTAAATTACGTTAAATATTATTATATTATTTTTTAAATGAATTTAAAAAAAAACTATAATATTGTGTAATATATTTTTATAAGAGCTAAATCATAATGATAATGTTGAGATTGACGAAATTTATGTTATGTAACTCACTGCGAAACTTTCTATAAATTAAAATTTCCTTTTAAAATTAAACTAATAATAATATTATTGATTATCTTTTACAATGACCATCGCTAACATATTTATTATAACTCGTATTTCATTTATATACAGTAAATTAATTAATAGAGTAAACAGGAGATGCTTTCTGTTAACATTAACTCTGCACTATAGAATTTTATTTCTAATAATTCTAATTTTATTTCTATAAATTAAATCTACCTCTTAAAATCAATTTTATTGATAAAAATAATATAAAATTTCAATACATTTTAGATTTAATTTGTAGTATTTCTTAAAAACAAAGTTTCCAACATCCACTAAATTAAAACATTATTTATATAAAAACACACGATTTCTGAACAAATTAATTTAGAAATTAAAGTAGTAAATGAAAATTTATTTTTTCTTTAAAGTTTTAATAAACATGTAGATATACACAGAGCCACGAAGAGAGGTGAGCTGAAAACTTTCCCTGATCCAGGAAAAAAACCTAGAGGCCTGTAGTGTTTTTATCCGTATTAATTAATATTATTCTTAATAACGAAGTAGTAAATAATTTATATCTTTAAGACTGCTATTTTTTAATAAAGAAATAGTCTCTACGTATTTCGTTTGTTAAAAAAGGGATCTTCTGCAGACCTCATACCAAGCTTTCCACAGTCTTGCTATAAATGTATAAAATTACATATACACAAAGCATAATCACATCTTTATTTTAACCATATAAACAATAATTCAGTTGTAATCATTCAAATTTTCAAATATATACCCTGTTACATAATATGTAATAGAACCAAATGAATTCAAAGTTTTTTAGGACGTGCCTAAATTTTTCTGAAAGATTTTAGTTACTTATTTCTAGAATAATTTACTGTACAAAACGTTAAAATGGCATATTAAACAGTATTAGGTTAGTTTTGTCAACTAATTAATAGATAGAAATATGTCTATTAAAAATATGGGATATATATACACACAGTAAAACCTGTATAAACCGAAGTCACGTTACCGAATTTTTTCTCTTTAAACAAGTTATAGTGTTATTCAAGTTCCGTCTTGGACAGATTTTACTGTATGTCTGAGATTTAAAGTAAAATACTGTAAATAATAGTACATTTCCTTACGTTAAAATTTATTTTACCTGCAATGTAACTGTAACTTTCTATCTGCAATGAATCTGTCATAAGAGCTTCGTTATGAAAATTGCACTTTATTAACTGAATGCTTAAGGATTTTAAAGTCGTGCATTATAAAAATCAAATAAGATCTAAGTTAGTTGAAACCCTTTTAATAGAAATGCAATATATTAGCGATTTAAAAATACAATTCTTTTACAATCTACAATAATTCATTTCCTAGGGTTTTTTCATGCTTAGAAAATAATTCCTTTTCAATAATTTATTTCACTTTTTAAAAGATAAATTATCGTTTTTAAGAATTTCATTCAGAACTGTATTTTAGCTTATAATAAAGAGGCATGAATGTGACATTCGAGTTTTAATATAAAATGTATTATAATGCAGTGGCGTGCCGTGACTTTTGATGATAGGGAGGCTGTGTAAGAAGCCGACTTCCAGGGGCAATCAGTTAATTCTTTAAATGTATTTAATTAAACAATTAATTCAATTAAATCAAACAATTCAATATAATTACCTCTGTTATTAGATTCAATAGATTCCCTATGCCCTCTAAATGCCAATTCTTGCTTTGATAAAAACATATAACATCTATTAATTTAAATATATCTATTAGCCGTAACTATCTCGTTATAATTTTCAATATTTATTTTATATTATTTACTAATGTTAAATTCTATTCCGCTTCGATTTCCAAATTGCTTCAAATACGAAAGAATCGACGATTTTTCGTGTCTTTTGCCAGCTAAATTGTCAAAGACATTCTTATTCCACACACTAATTTCACTCTGTAAATGCATTTTTATGCATTTACAGAGCCATTTTATCGTGAAAATATCGAACAAATTTTTTTATTGAAGCGTTTATATTTAACTTAGGCATTGGCCTTTCTCTTTTAATAATGTTTTCTTTTTCATTATATGATCTCGAGCCAAAACTTTTTTAAAATAAATTTTCAATATCGCAATTACATTCCGAATCGCTAGCCACGATATAAGGGCTAAAATTAAAAATAAAATTATAAAAACTTACTTGGTGAAATAAAATGTGTGGTGGATATACATACCTGGTACAAAATATTCTTCAATTGTATGAATATACTTTTAAAGAAAATTATAATTAAATATAACTTTGTAATGAAACGTACATGAAAATAACATAAAATATTCTTTACTCTTTAAATCTTAACCACTTAGTCAAATAGCTCCCTACGAGTGGAATCAGAGACGGTCCTGCTAGGTGTGCGGTGTGTACTGTACATGCACGCGGGCTGCCAAATCCCGAGGGTGCCGATACCGGTTAATGTCTCTTTTGTCTCATCACTAGTATATCTCAAAGGACGCGACAGGGTTGTTGTAAATTTTAAACGTTTCTCACCATAGCTGTAAAAATCTAAATATGTTAAACTTAATAGATTGTCCGTCATTTGTTTTCTAACTAATTCGTTTTAGGACCAGGTGTTGTCCACGGAAATTTCCAAAATTTACAACTTTTCGGTCACTCTCGTCGAACTGGAAAAATTTCTGTCTTTATTACATCTAATACAGTATTTCGAAGAAATCAGTCCCCACTGTACTCGGCTATAGATTGGTTCGGTTAAGCTTTTGTTTAAGTAATATTCCGGCTCTTTCATCAGGGTTTTGTTTATGTCCCCAATTCCCTAATCGCTTAATTATTTAACTACTTCTTAAGTAGAAATAAGTCGAAACCAGTTACTTTGTACTCGAATATTTGTAGTCTTGGGAAAAAAGTGGAAAGACAAATTTTTATGACAAACGGATACATAAATCGTAAATTTAAGGAAAATAAATTCTAGAGCTTTTTCTGTACCTCGTGCATCTCTCTCATTCATTAAATTTAGTTGTAAATGATGCTACCAAAGTAACAGTTAATTTTTTAACATTATACAAGAATTGTACACGTTTTTTTCTACATCCCCTTAAAGATGGGATGTACGAAATCGTAATATCACTGGTTTAACATCGAAATCCGTGAGTAATATAAAATCGGAGAGCGGAATAAAAATATCAAATATTTTAATGGATTTTTTTAACTCCTGTCAACTATACAGAACTATCGTAAAAACATACCAGTAAATTCTTATCGGTTGGGTTAAGTTATAAATCTACTCGTTATTCACGTAATCGGGCAAATATCTAGCGGGCGAGCGGCTAACAGCCCGGAACCGGTCCCAGATAGAATTGGATGCGTTATACGTGTAGCAGCCACCCGAGGTCCTAGGCTTCCACCGGCTAAACCGGGTGAGGTTGGTGCTCTGTAAAGCGCGTGCGCGAATCTGGCTTTTTGGATGGTGACAATACAGCGCTTCCATTCCACTACTCCGCCACTAATATTCGAATATACAATAGCAATATGTTTTTTCACGTGTAGTATAGAAATTTGTAATAAGATACATAATGCGGTTATAATAAAATATTGTGCGATTATTTTCATATAATTAAAATTAATATGTATTTATTTTTTAGAAAATACAAGGGAAGCGGCGCATCTACCGCTTCCAATGACGGCACGCCTCTGTTATAATGTAAAGATTTGTTTTATTGCAAAATGAGAAAACAAAACAAACGTAGATGTTATTTAAAAAATTGAGATTTAAATTTGTTTAGAACTAAAATAATTCGGAATTAAACAACAAAATAAACCGAAAATTAAGACGAAATGTATAACATAATTCAAGTTCTTAGTTTTGGTTTCGTTGAATAACAGGAATGAATTACAAGGTAAATTTTAACATGTTTTTGTTCTGTTTCTGTTGACATCTGAAAGTAAAATTGCTTTAAGAAAATAAAACAATTGTTGGATTTAATGTAATAGTTCAATATCTAAATAACAAAGTGTATTATGAACCAAACGTCAAGTGGAATTTATGAGCTACAAGTAGGCTATAATTTAATGTAATTAACAATAATTCGGCAACTAAACGTAGATAGCGTCGCCATCTTGTATTAATCTAGTTACTAAATTAACTGTTAATTAATTTAAATTATAGCCTAATTGTAGCTCATAAATTCCAGACAACGTTTAATTTATAATATTGGATTATGGTTTTGTTGTTTGTATGCGAAAAGATAAATCGATGAAAACGCGGAAAAACTTTTTGTTTAAAAAAAACCAAATTTGAATTGGCTGATATTTGGATTATTTGTTTGGTAAATTTAGGCCTCAAACAGTAAGGAATCCGGAAACGCTGGTCGAGAGCGAGTTGTGTGAAATCAATCTAGCAGAAATATATTCCAACGTTGAAAAAAAATCAATCATAAATTAAAAGACAAGGATTGTGCTACGTAATGAAATTACAGACAGAAATGGCAATTGTGTATTAAACGTTTTTCTTCAGACATGGAAATTCTTCTGCAATACGCTTATTGTCTGGTCTTGTATTCAATTTTACGAGCTCTGTGACGGTTTTTCTTTTCACTAGACTTATTATGCCATTAATTAGAAACAGGACAATCTTTAGAAAATCACAT